TGATGTAAGTGTTTTCTGCAAATTATATAGATGGCCCTGATGTAAGTAAAGTTGAGTGCCAAGCTGCTTTGTTTTTATTAAATTTTGTAAACTTTAATAATTAAAATATTTAAATAATATAATATAGAAAAAAATCAAAAGATATCCTAAAGCATTAATTTCAAGTTTTAATTTTAACTGACCACTTTTATGGTAGGTTAGAGCTGAATGCCATCAGAGATGTAAGTTTGCTCTGCAAATATCATAAAAAGAGCACTCTAATTGAAGTAAAGTAGAGTTAAGTGGTTATTGTGAATTAATAAATGTAAACTGTTTGTAATGTTAAATGTGTGTTGCGAAATTGTGTAAATAATGCAAAGAAAAACGTTAAGTGAAAAATGCAAATTAAAAAGTAATTAAGTAAAACTGAAATGTTTAAAATTTAAAATTTTTTAAAGTAATATTTAAATTTTAAAAAAGTCTTAAAATGTCTTTTTTTTAATTTAAATATTACTTTAAAATTTTTTAAAATGTCTTAAAAAATTCCCCAAATTTTTTCAAGTAAAATTTAAATTTTGAAATGAATTCCTAAAAATTTTTTATTTATTAAATTGAATGTGTTAAAAATGTTTATTAAAAGCTAAATTTAAAGAAAGAAAATATTGAAAGTTTTAATAAATTTCATTCCAACTGGTATCAAAACTTTACTAAATACTGGCTAAAGTATGGAAAATTAGAAGAAGATTAAAATCTTCACTCAATTCGGGCTATAATTGAGACTTTTGAAAAGAGTTGGCCCTTTATTAGTAAAAGGAAAGAATTCTGTATTGATTAAATATACATATTTACAATTTATTTACAATAAAAATTTACAAGATAATTCCTTTTACTCTTCTATATCCTCCATTACCTCCAGCTAAGGTTTAGTTATGTTATCACCATAAGAGCCAAAAAAATTATAAAGGTTAATGCCTGCCTTTTTAATATATAATTAATAAATTTTGGTGGTACTTGGTTATCAACTTGAACATTAATTAGCTTTATTATTTCTCTTCCTTTAATCTTCTATTTCAGTACATATATTTTTTATTTTGATAATTGGTATTTAAAACGTGTTTTCTATTACTTTTCTAGAGATATTAGAGTTCCAATTAATTAGCTTAATAGTATGAAAATGGAAATTCCTTCTTTTATCATATAATTTAATTTTGCTGTGTTTAAGAATTAGCAGGTCTAAGTATTCAATAGTATCTTGATTCGTATTCGTTTTATTAAGTGTTAAACTATTTGGGTAAATTTTGAATTGCTCAAAAGCAGAATTATTATTGATAAATATAATATCATCTATGTATCTAAATGTATGCGCAAATAGCTTTAATTCATTCTTATTTAAACTTAGTTGGAATTTATATTTAAAAGTAAAAAGAAATAGGTTACATATTTGTGTAGAACTGTTTGCTCCCATAGGAATTCCTCTAACTTTCTGAAAGATTTCATTATTGAATTTAATGTAGTTATTAAATAATGCAAAATTCCGATAAGTATTCCATCTTTCAATACTAAGGATATCAAGTATGTCAGGAAAAAGTTGTGGGAGTTGCATTAAACTAGTAAAAATTTCTTCTAATGGTAGAGAAGTATAAAGGTTTTCAAAGTCATAGCAGTTTATGTTTTTGATTTCTAAACTTTTAAACCTGCTGAGAACTGGAGCATTATTGTAAATAATCCAACTATAGTTGTGTTGCTTGTTAACGAGTTGTTGGATTAAATTACAGATTTTTTTAAGTTTAATTGCAAATATGTAATCTATATTCTTTTTATAATTATTTGTACTATTAGCAATAAATCTAAATTTGAGTGCTGATTTATAAAATTTTGGGAGAGCATATAGATTTGCTAATTTATTGTAGTTAGATGGTTGTGAAATTTGCAGTTTCTTATGAAATGCTTTTAGCTTTTTTGCAATAACATTTCCTTGTATATTGATGAGTTTGTAAGTAATGGCATTATTCAGTTCAGTATTAATTAATAAGACATAAAAAAATTTTCATATTATGCTAAAATTATTATTGGCTTTGTCAATTTCGGTTATTACGAACTTTTGTTTCAAATCTTGCAATAGAGGAATGAGAATATTCCACGGTAAATTGCTATTAAATTCAATCTTTCGAATTCTTTGCTTGAATTCTTCTACTACTCCATGTTTCCAAGCCATAAAGGTAGAATTTGAAATATTTAATTTGTAACTAGTTTTAACTATAAATTCGTCTAGATTTTTTACGAAACTTTTAAAACTGTGATGTTTGTTAATTTTTAGTACTGGTCTAAATTTCGTACCTTTTCCATTAAATTTCTTAAAAGTTGGTTTTGAACTATTGCTAAATTGCCTGTAATAATATGTTTATGAAATTTATCTATGTAATCTTTGTATGAAGCTCTTTGCAATATCAATGGGCTGTAGAAGCTAATTCATGGTGGTTAATTAGCAATTTACTAAGAGGTATTTGATACTTGAAAGCTGGTGAGATTTGTACTTTAGTAGTTGGAAAAAGTTGTTGATTTTTTCTGAAAATTTTGCTAAACTGAATATGATCATAGTTTGGATGAAGGAAATTGATTTTGCAGTAATATTTATTGTATTTGTTATTTGTAGAGAATTTATAATAGCAAAAGTCAATAATAAGGTCTTTGATAATATTGTGCCCTGTAAAATGCTGTTTAACAAATTTTAAAAGTAATTTTAAGAAATTGTGCTTACAAGTATGCAACCAAGTAATTATATTTTTAGTGAAATTATCAGTAAGAAAGTAATTATTAATATTATCGTTTAACTTTTTTGTATCTATTGTTGAAAAAAATTTATTTTTTTGTTTATTACCTGCTCTGGTTCCTCGTAATGTTTTTTTACTGAATAATTTAAAATGGCTGTAAGTTGGAATTTCAGAATTTAATTTAATGTATTGGTTGAATGTATTGAGTCCATAAGGGTAAAGTGTTTTGAATTTAAGCATGTAGAGTGACTCTTGAAATAATCTAACTTTGTATTCAGGCACAATGTCCAAAATTTGAATATTAATTTTTTTGAAATCATGTATTTTAAAATATTCTAATTCAGCTGTATTAAGTGAGTTAAAATTAGTAGTTGCGAATTTTTTAATGTGTGCTCTGTGGTTGTTAATTCTAATATTAAGACTATTTTTGGTTTGTCCAACATATTTAAGATTTCATGTGTTACAAGTGATTAGATAAATGCAATTATATGTTTTTTCAAAAGGGGAGTTGTTTAGTGGCTGGTCTCCTGCCTGCTCAACAGTCATTCACTTATGCATTTTTAAAAAAAAAAATTTAGATTAATTTTAATTTGCTAAATTGGTGAATTTATTTTCATGGTTTGGTTTTTGCACTTGATTTTACTTATGCTATCTGAATTTAAATGATTGTTAGATTAGTTCGAAAATTAAATCTTTATATGTTTGCACATTTTTAATTTTTTTTTAAATTATTTTGTTTTTTAACATTTTTGTTTTAATTAATTTAAAACTCATTCCTTGGCAGCAATGGCGCAAAGAATTAATTAAATTTGTATTTAAATTCAATTTATTCTTTTGAAACAATATATATATATATATATATATATAATATATATATATAATATAATTTATAATAATATAAAATAAATATAAAATATAGAAACTCTAAAGAGTGAACCCATAGGTAGTAAGTTTAATTGCGAAAATTGTTTTTAAAGTAACTTGAATTAAATTGTTAAAAATATTTTACGGGGGATTGAAATCATGAAAACCAAATTTCAATTGAAAATCAATTAATTAAATTAAAGCAAGTAATCAATCATTGCCATTGAGGAAATGTGAGTTTTCAAGAGGAAACCAACTCCCGTTCAGTGAACAATATTTAATAAATAAACACGAAGGTGTTTCGTCCTTTACTCAAGTAATAAGGTATGCCAAACTGGCAAATTAAGTTAGGCTAAATATTTTCGAGAAGTGAAGGGATCCAGAACCAATGAAGAGCACGATAGAACACATTCTGATTAAGATTTTCGCTAAAATATTTTGAATGAAAGTTCATGCAAAAATTGATAGTTAAATGTTTACAACCCTCGTCTTAATGCAATTCAAATCTATTTGTAAAAAATTAAACATTGGAAATTGAATTATGAAAAATATAACTCAATTGAGTAATTGAAATAAACATTAGAAAATTAAGAATGCAATCTTTGCAAAAACAAATAAAATAACAAAATTGAAAATTAAAATATATATAATACGAAAAGGGAATGTACATGAAGATATAATGCAATATATATACAATAAAGTACAATAATATGTACTTTATTGTACAATGCAATAAAGTACAATGTATATATATATATTAATAGTGAATTTGCCAATTAAAACCACGTGACTTAAATTTTTCTTTGTATATAAAACTCAATAAGTTGTATTAAAGGAGGCTTAAAATTATACTTGCCGTATAAATTTTACTATGTCTGTTACGATTTGGTGATTATGTCTTCATATCTGTCGTTATTAATTTAAAATGGCTCTGGCCTCCCTTTTCATCTTATTTTTCAGTTGTCCGAGTTATTATAATTCCAAATGACTCGTATAATTGGAGTTCTGGTGTAATTAAAGTGGCTGAAATTTGTGCAGTAATAGAAGAAGGTATCAGTTAAAAAGTTACACCCAAGACGTCCTGTTCGATTATTCTCGTATCCGAAACAATGGATATAATAAACATATAAAAACGTCAAAACATCCTGTTTATTTTGATACACCTATAGTTTTAGGATTGTCGTTACACCATTTATGAGCTGTAATTTTTTGCTCTTAAATCTTCGCAAACATTCTTCCAGAATAAAGACTCGTATTTCATAACAACAATCATAACCAAGAATACCGCCGAAATTTTTATCGTAATGTTTGTGTATATCATGATTGTGTCCGATGACGACGATAAAAGCCGTCTCTCTTTAAAACGGTTTTGTCGTAATTCAATACTACAACAATCAAATTATTTGTTCGTGCTTATGGAACAACTGTTTCTGAATGTGTATATATACTCCCTGGTGAATGTTATGGACACAGTTATAGTTTCTAAATATTCACAAAGAACACTAGTGTGTGCAGTGATTGCATATCATTTTATAAGGTAAGTGGAATTTTGAGGTTGTAGGAATAGTTGATAACGTCTTTTAAACAACTCGAAGAGGTATTTTCTGTTTTCAGTAAGGAAATTTCGTGCTATTGGTCAAAATAAAAAATATTGGCATTTCAGGCAAATATGTGTTGCAAACAATGTAGAGAAATAACTGGCCAGCTATGTCTTGAATAGTTCATAGTTCACAATTCATTCCATAGATCTTCTTCAGAGAGGCAAGGGCCTCAGAATCTCTTTCGTATCTCCAAATCGGAACTTATCATTGAGTTTGTGTATTTGTTTGCCATTTCTTAAGCTATAGTGTTAAGCTAAGTGTTATAGTTCTTAAGCTAAGTGTTGACATTAGCGCTAAAATTTTTAGTGCTAAAGCTAGAATTAAAATAACTTTCAAGTATAAAAATTTATAAATTTTAAATCGCTTCGTCTGTTAATCAATAACAGGTTAATTAAACTCAAAAGTAAATTAAAGATGATATGGTTTTTGCCAAGTTCAGAAAGTTTAAGAACTGATTATACTAAGGCTTCTTAAAAAAAAAAAAAAAAAAAAAAAAAAAAATAGAGTTTCACGTTTTGACCAATTTGATTTACGTTTTACGTTACAAGTCACGTAAATGATAAAATGATGCATGGTGATGTAACATAAAATATCACTTTAAAAATTTCAATCCCGCTAAAAAATGTTTCTGAAAACAGAGTTAATGATATAGCTTATAATAGCTTATAAGAAATATAAATATCTCTTATAAGGTCCATGGGGTCCACTTCATTATGTAAATTTTAAACTAGCATTCGGGCAGGGGAACACATTGCAAATAAAAGGAAAGTAAACATCTTTAGAAATGAAGAAATTAACATACAAATGATAATGACTTAATCTGCTATTACTGCTATCCTACGCAGTTTTCTTTTCACTTTATAATTTTTGTAGATAGTTCTGTTTTACATTTGCATTCACGGTTTGTGATTGCAACGTTTATATCCAATTTAACAATAAATATATTTTTTTCCTTTCCTCTATTCTTTTTCCTTTTTCTTTTTTATCTTAAATGGGCGCTAGCCCAAAAGGGTTATTTATTTCGTTTTGGCATTTTGCGTTGGTTCACAATAAAAGTCTTAATCACTTTTCCAATTGTTGCTACCAAATATTAGATCCGTGCATTATATTTAAAGAAATTCTGTATGAATGGAGGTATGTTTCTCGCAATGTGATAAAACAATGGTACCTAACGACATCAAATTTTGAATAACGTAGTCTTCCACTCGAAGATGGGCATCTGGAAGCCCAAATTTCGAATTTGTTTTGTTATCTATTTCATATTTTGTAAAACTTTAACGAATTTTTGATTAACAAATTCAACGATTTCGAAATGTTTCATTAACATTAACATTCGTTCATCTACAAGCACAGTTATTTTTATGCCCGAGGTTTCTTTACATTTCTTACTGGTATTATGTTGGTAAAGTAGCAACGTAAAGACGTTACATTGTCTAACGCTATTTTGCGTCGAATGATTTTGAATGTCTGTATCACTTTTCAAATCCCGTTTTGAATCCTCCGTTATATATATATATATATAATATTTAAAAAATAATAATAATAATTAAAAAAACCCGCCTCTTTGGGCATAATATAAAATCTGAAAACTTTCAGTCCCCCGCCCCTCCTTTTTTCAGCCCAGAAGGGCAGTTATTCTCAAAATGGCATTTTGGGACGGTTCACTATAAATGTTCGCTTCACTTGTCAAAATGGTCGCCACCAAATATTATCGCCCTGTATTATATTTTAAAAAAAAAAAAAAATTAAGTAACGAAGAATCTACATAAAACGTATGTATGTTTCTCGCAATGTGAAAACACAACGGTATCTAGAACCATCAAAGTTTGAACAATGTAATCCTTCACCCGAATATGGGCATCTGTAAACCCGAATTTTTATTTTCGAATTTGTTTTATTGTCTATTTCATATTTTGTACAACTTTAACGTATTTTTGATTAACAAACTCAACGATTTGAAAGCAAACAATGGTAACACTGTATGAAAAAAAAATTATCTCCAGCGCGCGAGTCTGTCTATCCGAAAATTTAAAGATATGCTGTTTTTAAATATTTTTAGCCCAAAGGGACATTGGCTGAAATGCTCTCGAAACGTGTATGTGTGTGTGAAGGAAAAACACGGCCCTTTGGAAGTAATATAAAATCTTTCTTTTATTTATATATATTTTTTTTAAGACAAGGCATCAATAATTTGCGCCTAGTTAATCTGCTTGCAGCTAATCGAGAACAGACTGTACCTCGATACAGAATCCTTCATTTGGCATAGGAATCCATTTTATAATAATAATTCCGATTGATGAGATCTAAAATGCAATGACTTCATAATTTATCTAATTGATAAATTTATGAATAATTTATCTAATTGATAAATTTATGAGTATTTTCAATGTTGTAATTCATAAAAATATATTTCTAACGCATTCTTCATACATTATATAACTTGTGAGTACTTTTTTTTATATAAGTTTAAAAAAATGTGTAAAGTGTTTTCACTAACAGAAGCTCGTGGATTCAAATATTTAATTTATTTTATATGCATTAATTACCTTTACATAACTGTATGTCATATTTATTGTTTCAATGTTAAAACACAAACGAATCTTTATCAGGAAAAAATACTACATTCTAATTTGTTTCGAAACAAACCATTACGCTTGATTATTTTATATACAGAGTATTTTAAACATGCAGTGTACATGTAACATATCAAGAGCAATAATATATCAAGATGTAACAGAACATATGAGGTATAACATATAAATTTCGAAACAAACCATTACGCTTGATTATTTTATATACAGAGTATTTTAAACATGCAGTGTACATGTAACATATCAAGAGCAATAATATATCAAGATGTAACAGAACATATGAGATATAACATATCAAGAGCAATATGTATAACAACAATATGTTTTATGGCATCTTTCAATTTTGGCAGATCTCATGGATTTGACGTGCACACCTTAAATTACAGATAACCCCCAAACTATAAATTCATCGAAGTGAGGTCGGTGGATCGCAGTGGCCAGAAAACTTCAAAGCTTCGAGAGCTAAATGTATCTTGAGACGTTGTACACGTTGAAAACTTTTTCCCCAAAATGGCGGACTCTAGCCATTTATAGGCGTTAACACTCCTAAGACCGGAATCGATGGTCACTTTATTGTGAAGGCACCTAATAGGTGGGCCACCGTTACCTCCTATGAAGGGAAGGGTAAATTACATTCATACCTTCTCTGGGATTCGATCCCGGGTCCTTCGGTACGGCAATCAAAGTCACTAACTACTTTTTCGTTTGGGCAGTTGAAAACTTGCAATTCCAATAAAAGTGTATCTTCCCTTTAACGTGTGTGTGTGGAAGGGGGTATTTTTCCCAGTAATTTTATTTAAAATGTTCATATTTTGTATATCCATCTCTATTATTAAATAAGGAAAAATCTGTATGGACATAAGTTCCTTTCACTGGGGGGGGGGGGATCGGCGGCGCTTAGAGCCACCAAATTTTTAATACTCTTAGTCCTTCATGCGGACGTGTATCTTGAAGCCTGAATTTTGATTTTGACAATTTTGTTTTAACTTTATTTCACATTTTGTGCGAATTTAATGAGTTTTTAATTAACAACTCAGTGACTTAAAGGCACATTGTCACTAGGCAAAGCGTAAGATATTTATTATTTTTAATCTAGTCGGAAAACTGGGCGACTCGGATATATATTGCAACTCGGTAAAGTGGAACATATAAACGTTTCAAATTTAATTAGAAAACTTAGCAATTTAACAGTAATGTTTTACCGGTGCTCGAAATAATACGTAGGTTGATCCAAAAAAAAAGTTTACAAGCAGAAGCATTTGAAACGTAATAATTGTGGAGCGAATATTTCCACCCAGGGTGGTTGACAGATGTCGCTAGTTGTCCTCAGTGGTTCTACGAGTAAGTAGCGTCAGTACGCAGACACTCAAGAGCGACAGTAATGGCACGACGTCTAGAAAAGTGGTCTCGCATAGAGGTGCGAGACGTAATTCGATTTTTATGGGCCAAGAATGTGGCCGCATCCGAAATTCACAGACAAATCGTTGAGGTATACGGGGACAAAGCAATGCGTAGACAAGAGGTAGCGAAATGGTGTCGTTCTTATCAAGCGGGCAGGGAGCATGTGGAAAACCGCAATATGGAAGCGAGCGGCCGTCCAAGTTCTTCAAGGACGGATATCAACACGGCACGTCTTGAAGAAATCATCCAAAGGGATCGACGAGTAACCGTGCGTAAGATTGCCTCAGAGTTGGACATGAGTTATGGTAACGTTCAGCGTATCGTAACCGAGTAACCGTGCGTGAGATTGCCTCAGAGTTGCACCTGAGTTAAGGTAATGTTCAGCGATGATGTTTGGAATATCGCAACCGATGAGTTGCGATATTCCAAAGTTTGTGCCCGCTGGGTTCCACGTGTGTTGTCCGCAGAGCATAAGGCCACTCGAATGATGTGCAGCCTCACATTTCTTCAGCGATATCATTCAGACGGCCAACACTTCACTGATCGCATCGTTACCGGTGATGAAACATGGCTTCATCACTTCACCCCCACATCCAAAAGAGCCACGATGGAGTGGAAACACGCTGGATCACCGACGAGGAAGAAGTTTAAGGTCAACTGTTTAACCCTCTGCCGGTAAAGTGATGGCAACCGTTTTCTGGGATACGACTGGTGTTATCCTAATCGAGTATTTGGAGTGTGGCCATACCATTAAGGCCGATCGTTATTGTGCCACCTTAACGAAATTGCGTAAAGTCATCCGACGCAAACGGCCTGGATTACTGAGCAAAGGCGTCATTCTTCTGCAGGACAATGCCAGGCCCCATACAGCTCGCCAGACTCAGGAATTGCTGCAAAGGTTCAAGTGGGACGTCTGGAATCACCCCCCATACAGCCCCGATTTGGTTCCAAGTGACTATTTCATTTTTCCGTCGTTGAAGCTATACTTATCCGGAACACGGTTCACCTCAGACGATGCAGTGAAAACAGCTGCCGAGAAATGGCTCAATGAGCAGGGCCCTGATTACTACCAAGACGGGATAAACAAGTTGGTCGAACGTTCTGACAAATGCCTAAACAGGTTTGGCGATTATATGGAAAAGTGAAGGCCAGATGTGTCTCTTGATTCCCATTTGTATCTTGTTTCTATTGTTAATAAATACTTTTTCATTTGCCTTGTAAACTTTATCTTGGATCACCCCTCGTATATTTTCATCTTCCACTTGTCACTGTGTTCCCATTCTCCCAAGCGTAAGATATTTTTTTCTTTTAAATTTAATCTTTCTGCTACTGTTTAACAAATTAAGCGATTTAAGATTTTATAAACGCAGATTTTAATCTCTATTATAATTACTACCTGGACATGCGGAATTACACTAGTTGAACACATTAAAACTATTGTATAATTTTTCTCTTTTATAATAATTATTTTAGGCGGCTGTTGACGCAAGAGACTCGTATACTAAACTTGTATGTAAGTTGAAACATGAAATGAATTAAGAAATTGTAGAAAAGGATGTGCGCTGTTAGGAGCAATAAAAATATATTTTAATGTTGATCAAATATGACAGAATTTTATACTATTACATTTGTGGCGGACATACTGAGATTTTTGTAACACTAAAATATACAAATGTAGATAGAAACAAAACTAGCCATCGTAATGTGAAGCAAATAACGAAAAATAGTCGAAAAAAAGTGTGGGTAGCGATGGGAATTTTTGTTATCATTATCTGAATTATCATTTTGAAAATATACTGAAATGGCACTATCTCATTTTATATACGGACAAAGATTTACATAAGAATTAGAAATTTCCCAATAGACTTTTTACCAGTTGTCAGAAACTTATTTTATTTACGGTTACAGCCGAAAACATCGCAGACGAAAACGTCGCGGAGAAAACAACGCAAGGCGAAAACGTCGTGCTACAAAACATCGTGGGAGAAAACATCGCAAAGAGAAAACATCGTGGTACAAAACATCATCGTCGAAAATAAAGCGCTTCAAAAACTTCGCAGTTTAAAAAAATCGTCGTCGAAAATATCGTGGTAAAAAATAAAGTATCTACAAATTATCGCATGACAATAACATCGCAAACATGCTTTTTCAGGTTTTAATAACTATACATGGATATTCCCGTAATGATTTGTGAGCACAAGATGGAAAGAAGGATAATTTTTACTTTCATATTTTTTATTAATCAATAAATTTTTGCTGAGAAAATAAAAAAGAAACTTAAGCATAGAAAATTAATGCAACTTATAGCATTGAATAGAATTTTAAACCGACATAGTTAACTAACAAAGGCCATTAATAAATCATTTTTTGTAAAGTTTTCACTGGTAATTTTTTCATGAAAAGTATAATCTATAAGTTGCATTTAGTTTTCTATGCTTAAGTTTCCTTCTTACTTTTTCAGCAAAAATTTATTATTAATAAAAAAAATGTGAAAGTAAAATTATCCCTTCTTTACACCTTGCGCTCACAATCATTATGTGAATATCCATTTACAATTATTAAACCTGAAAAAAGCATATCTGCGATGTTATCGTCATGCGATGATTTGTAGATACTTTATTTTTTACCACGATATTTTCGACGACGATGTTTTAAACTGCGAAGTTTTTGAACTGCTTTATTTTCGACGACGATATTTTGTACCGCGATGTTTTAGAACTGCGATGTTTTCTCTTTGCGATGTTTTCTCCCACGATGTTTTGTAGCACGACGTTTTCGCATTGCGTTGTTTTCTCCACGACGTTTTCGTCCGCGATGTTTTTGCCGCGATGTTATCGGCGGACACCTTATTTACGGTACTCATGGTATAAAATCACATTTGTTACAAAATAGTATACAGATTAAATAACTTTTAATATGATTCTTTGTTATGCTGATGAGAAATACAGTTTTATGCTTATAATGACGAAGCTAAATGAAAGATCTTATGCATCGTCGACTTGCAACTAAGTCTATTTACGACGTACAGAATTTTATCGCAAATGGAAAACAAAATCACCTTGGTGTTAATAAAAAATTGAGCTGTGAACAAATTTCTAATGCACAATGTGTTATTTTTAATATTTAAAGTTTTATTCCTTATCTTTCGTCTTCGTTACGGTTTATTCACTCTACAATTACTAAAGATTTAATTTTTTTTTTAATTTAAAGAATGTTATCGCAAATGGAAAACAAAATCACCTTGGTGTTAATAAAAAATTGAACTGTGAACAAATTTCTAATGCACAATGTGTTATTTTTAATATTTAAAGTTTTATTCCTTATCTTTCGTCTTCGTTACGGTGTATTCACTCTACAATTACTAAAGATTTATTTTATTTTTTATTTTTTTTTTTTTAATTTAAAGAAACCATGAAGAGTTTTGCTTTGAGTATCATCTTGGTGATAGTCTGTTTAGCGGCATTCTACCCTGAATCCAATGCTCAACATGCTCACAGCAAACGAAAATCCCAAACACGAATGGCACAGAATGGCATATCGCAAGGTGGAGCGTCATCAAGTGGAATGTCTCCAGGTGGTATGATGCCACAGGCAGGTGCACCTATGCCTATGCCAATGGGAGGAAGTGCAGGCAACGGAGGAATGGCTGGTGGCAGATTCGGTTTCAGCATGGGAGGAGGCATGGGAAAAAAGTAGACTCGTTAATCATAAGGTAATTATTTTCTTATTTTATTTCTTTAGGGTAATTATCTTCTTTTTCTTATTTAAGTATGAAACAAATTCAAATTTGTACTATATTTCGTTAAAGATACTCTTTCTTGGTGTCTTGAAGACCAGCACATCAATTTAAAATTGCCATTTTTCAGTCACAAAATCCCCTTTACTCTTCCGTACCACTTTTTCTATTCTCCCCGCTCACTATTCAAGAAGAAATTTGACTTATTACATCATTCTGAGCTTGTACTTTTAGACTTTTACTATTAAGCAACATACTTGATGAAAACATCAATTTGTAAGATTATGCTGTATCTACAAGCTAGTATCAGTGTCCCATAACCCCTATAAGATTGGAATTGAGTTATCACTTAAGTCTGAAACAAGTGATCAAGTCTTCACAAGGTTAAATTAACCTTTTTATACAACTCTTAAATGAACAGAAGGCACCATACTTGTGCGACTGATGAACCTCCGCTAATTGCAAGCATTCAAATTAACATAAGATAAAATTAAATTAAAATGTAGTTAACTTAGTCTGACACTACCTATGCGCGCACAATAGACTACTCCTGGAACAGCCTAATTAAGCCCATAGGGCCATTTGGCATCAAGTGGTTGTCCTGCTTCATATACGCAAACAAACAAACCATAGACTACTTAAGCTGGCTCAAGATAATTAATTAATAGCACTTATTTTAAACGTCGGCTAGTAAGATTTTGAAGCCGGAACAACTTTGGAGAGCTAGCTGTAGTATGTAACTGCAATGCCAGGCTATCAGAAGCTCTAAAACATTGAAATCCTCGACTCAAGTACACAATTAGTTTGCACCCTAGCTCATAATAACTGGCTAGTGAATATAAAATCCTACAAATAAGTCATTCATGATTCCCGTGTCAAAAAAAAAATACATTTTATATAATTTTAATATTTCATTAGTTGACAAATCATTAGATAATAGAATAGGCTACTGACATATAAAAATATAAATTTCATAAAGAGTAAAGTAATAATTCTTAACATGTACATCACAAAGGAAAATTATTCATTGTTCTTAAGCATTTGGAAACAACTTCCTGATTAATTTAATGTGATAAAATTAAAGATTTACTGAATTTTATACATCTTTATAAATATTTATTTGAAGTTATTAATCATTTGTATTATTATTTTACCCATAATCCAACAGATAACTTGAAGCAATTTATTTTAACTAAAAATCCTACAGTCTCTGCCACCAAAATTTAAATAATTTTAAAGCAAGGGTCGTAATGACAAAGGTAGACAATTTTACAATTCTACTACTCAGATGGAGCCAAATCTTTTATGAAGCTTTTATATCTAATATTTTTTTTCTTTCTTTATATCATAAGATCTAATTTAGGTTAAAATAACACTCCGAACAAAGATTAATTTAGAAGTCAAACAACAAAAATCAACATAATATTTGCAAATTTTCCAGGACTAGCTTCGGTGGTTTTACCGAGTCATCATCCTCAACTGCCAAAGTGCAAATGAACGAGATAGAATTTGGTGAAAAGATAAGATAAGATAAGAACAGCTGGACAGGATTTAAGCTACTGGCGCCATCTATTGATGAAACAAGAAAACTAAAACATAATTTTCTTAAAGGCTGAATGTAAAGATGGATTGGAATTAGGGTCGTTAACTAGAACAGAAAGATTTTTTTTTGAATGTGAAACGCCTGTAGAAAATCTAATTCACTAATGGAAGACGTTTCTTGAATAATTTTGGCTGCAGAAAAATGGAAAGTGTGATTTTTCGGACCAACAGTGCTGGGCAACAGAGGACTTCTGTTTTTCCTAATATATGTTTCATGTTCTTTAACGCAAAATTTTAAGGCTCTCTTAGTATGACCAATGTAAATTAAACCACACTGGCAAAGAATCCTGTAAATAAACCCAGGAATTCATATCAGGAATGGGGTCCTTAAGTATGGAACTGGGAATTTTATTGATAGGAGAATAAACGACCCGAAAGTTAAGATTCTGTGTAATACGTGCAATTTTACAGCTAATTTGATGGACAGAAAGGGATGACGACAGAATTCTTATAATTTTCTAAAAGTAGTGCGTGTTTTTTGGTGTATTGAGATGAGAATTTTTTAACTGCTTGATTAATACTGTTGGATGAAAAGCTCCTGTCAATAGCAACTGCTTTTAAATAATTGATCAAGAGCCAGTTTGGAGAAGACCCCTTGAAGTGCACGGAAAACAAAGGACTAAAATGAAGCTAGCTTCTGTTTAGTCGAATGACATGATTTGAAGTGTGGTGGAAGGCAATACGTAGCGGAACCATACGGGGAAGTTTGGAGCTTCAAATAATTTTGATTCATAATAATGCATGTAGATATCATCCAGGATGGGACTAAGAGAGCTTCCCATGGCTGATCTTTTTGTTTGGTTGTAATACTTATTTTGGAAAACAAAATGCGTTTGTTTCACAGTTGAGTAAGGGAAATTAGCTCATCAATTTCAATTTAGGAGAAATTAAATTCACGAAGTCGGTGTTCTAGACATCTTAATGCCCCCGCCACTGCATTAAGATGTCTATAAACCAGGCAACATAAATAAATTTTACAGAACACATTTTACAGAGCAAGTTCGTAAAAAAAAAGACATTCCAGTTACTACTTAAAATTTAAAAATCTTCACTAGTAAACATGCGCTATCAGCTTGAGCATTTTGGCAGCAATGGAAAGCAGCTTGGAGCAATTCCAGTTTCACTTGAACAGAAATAGATAAATTTCTACTATTCTTTAGTTTGCTTTTGAGTCATTCGTTTAGCTACAAACTAGTCTCAGGTCAGCTACAGCAGCTTGTTAATTAAGTGCTTTGGCTGCCAACTTCGCTCATGCTCGTCATGTTCATCTTCGGAAGGTTTTTTTTCCCTCCTTCTTTCTTGCTCGCGCAGTCTGTTGGTTCAGATTTGGCATTCTACTGTCCCTGTTATTTCTTCCAGAAAGCTATCTGGGACTGTTGGCTTGTTGCTTTACATCTTCTCGCGCAGCTTATCGCGGAATCTTTTGGATCTTCCTAGAATTTCCTCATCGCCAGGTTGACCTAATCGCTTTTTCCATTCCTGGCGCAGCTAATTGCGGAATCTCGTTGATCTTCTACAATTATCCTGCTTTTGGGAATGGCTTGGCGGCTTGTTTCCGGGCACTATACTGATATTGAAACCGAACGCTGCGCTTTCTTTTCCTCTGTTCTCTTTCTTGTACTCGTGGGTCTCCGGACTATCTTTCCGCTATACCAGTAATGTTTCCCTTCGGCGTTTGTTTATTCCTAGACCGCTTTGGAGTTCCAATTACGCCGGACTGTTTTTTCTTCCATGACACGTTCTCTACTGACCAAGTTGCACGCGTTGTTCTGTCTACCCCGTCACTGGCCTAATTCATCCGAGATGGGTTTGGATGAGTTTCTTCAGAGACTGTTGTTAAATCTTCCATTATTTACGGCATATTAATGTCCGCCCCTTCATATAAGGGCTAAACTGATCGAAATTTGCCGTGACTACGGAACTGTCTTTCCTTCTGATATAACTAAAAAATGACCTTCAAATTTGGGATAAAACTTGGCCTGCTCTGCGAAAGTTAATGAATGCTTAAATTTAAACACTTCAGCCAAGACTTTAGAATTTTCCTTAGGCGTTTTCCTTATCGCAATAAAACTCTGCTTGATGCGGGCTTTATCTGATTTGTTGCCTTATCGACTATCCTCTGAATACTTTTCTGTCATTTAAAATTACTACCAAAGAAAAAAAAAAAAAGAAAAAAAAAGAAAGAAAGAAAGAAAGAAAAAGGTTATAGAACTTTCTGTCCAAAAATAATTCTGCAGGAGTGTTCTCTGTTGTATTTTGTTTTCCCGACCCGGGTAGGTGAGTTTGTTGACATAGATATCCTCCGTGAGTACTATGTACTACGTAGGGATCAGCCATCCATGTGATCATTACGTGGGCCTATTACTAAGAAATATAAGTTAAATTTTTATAATTCAATTTTTCAAGCGGAGGTTTCTTCCCTTCATTTTTCCTTCAAATGGATAAAGAATTATTTAAAAACAGGAACATAATTAACATATGTACTGATAGTTTAATGAATTAAAGCAGCTTGGAGCAAATTGGAATTAATTTTGAATAGTAAACAAACTGTATTTTGTGCTCCTGGAAGACCAAAACTAGGTTCTCCAAGTAGTAAGCACAAACGATAACATCCAGCAGCTCAGCCGTGTCCCCCCCCCAAAAAAAAACAATGCGTACAAGAAACTAATTATATGTTATTAAAGCTTCTCTAATCCAAAGCTTCAGACCTCAGTAACTAAAGCAGTTACGTAACGAAACTAAAAAAAAATAATAAATACTATAGGCCTAGAATATTCAAACTCAAAGTTTTCTCTTATGTTCGAAATCAGAATAAACTAAATAAACTAAGATATTTTTAAAACTTATAATTGACTTCATAATATGAAATGATAATAAAAGAAACAATATAAAATAATAATAAAAGAAGATAATATAAAGGGAACAGAAAAATACATGAATCACAGTCACATCACATACAAAATCTAAAGCAGAATTCTCACTGTTGGCTTACTGCTGTTAAGACTTTTTTCTTGATAGAAACCTTGTGTTGTTTATGTAACTAAAACTCTCATTTTTATGTCATTTGCATAAGTGTCATGTAATCTTTATTTTTCTCAGACTTTTCTCATTTTTCTTTCAAGATATCGCAGATATAGTTCTCATTCTGCCGACGCCGAAAGCAATCGCAAAATTTTTAAATACATCTGTAGCATCAACAAATAAAATAATTAACCAAGATTTACGCCTTAAAAAAGCTAAAGACATAATGTTCACCACTTGTGCCGAAAACATATGGCTTACAGCAGAACAAATTATAGAATCCTGAATGAAAACCTATTTAGCAGGAATGGAAATTTATTTAGCAGGGGATAAACTTAACTAAACTTATTTAG